TTGTGTTTGTCTCTTACATCTTTGAAACACTCTTCTGTTCCCCCCCCCTGTCGACTTTTTCAATTTGATGTTTCATCCCCTCTGTGAAGCCTGAAGTCAACTAAAAGGCTAATGATAATCATCAAGATGCCTGCCATTTGATATAAATAAATAAATATATATATTTTACATCGTTTCCATATATGTACTAGCCAATCTCATAAACAAAGTGAATTAATAGGAGTAAACTTGGGGTCTATTTCAATTTAGATTGAAAATTTTATTGGCGAATTCTACTATTTACGGTAAGTTTAATTAAAATTGGGTTTAATTTCATGTTTCATCTGTAATCTTAATTGATTTGGATTAGAAATGTACACAAGCACAATAACCAGACATTTAGAGCAAAATAAATGTGAATACCATAGTGATAAAAAAACGAAATTCAGCAATTTTTTAAATAAACTAATAAAATTTTAAGGTATAAATTTAGCTGGAAATATATTGAAACTTACCATAACATCTTTTTATCTAAACTAATAAAATCAAAGATTATAGATACAGAGCATATTTAAATTTGAATTCATTCATTAATTTAATATTCTCAACATACAATGCAAGTTTGGTCAGTTAAAATTCTATTCGCAGAATTTGTTTAAACTTTTAGATTGATTTATATCTATATAATCACACCTTTGCGAAGGTCACATCTCTGGATTGCGGCCTGTTTGGTTGTGAGTTTTCATGATTTGAAGACTTTCTAATGATACGTACAGTTTAATGCAAACTTTCTTAAAAAATCTTCACTCTTCCATGTAATTTTTCGAGTGTTTTTATTAAAATATTTATAGTTTTCAGTCGTTCATCAAAACTATGTGGTCACATGTTGAAATGGGCCCCCCTGATGCCATCCTTGGGATCACGGAGGCATTTAAACGCGATACTAACCCAAACAAAATAAATCTTGGTGTTGGTGCTTATCGAGACGATAATTGCAAGCCTTGGGTTCTTCCTTCTGTTCGAGAGGCTGAGGAACGCATCGCTAGCCGTCATATGGATCACGAATACCTTCCAATTGTTGGTTTGACGTCTTTCAGCGATGCTGCCATTAAATTCGCATTGGGGGAGAATTCTCCTGTCCTTAAGGAAGGAAGAGTAAATTCCTGATAATGTTTAGCAATTTACCTCAATGTCAACATGATATGACAATTGCTTATTTAACGCTTTAGAATGCTACTGCTCAATGTCTATCGGGAACTGGCTCCTTACGAACAGGGGCTGAATTTTTGGGTCGTTTTAACATGATCAAAGAAGTTTGGTTTCCGAAACCAACGTGGCCAAACCATTTTGCCATCTTTAAAAACAGTGGGTTTTCCACTGTCAACTTCTATCGTTACTATGATCCAAATACCTGTGGTTTGGATGAGACTGGTTGGTTAGAGGATATTGGAAAGATCCCTGAGGGATCTGTCATTCTTCTCCATGCTTGTGCCCATAATCCAACTGGTGTTGACCCTACTCAAGAACAATGGAAGAAAGCTGGCAAAATTATCAAGGAACGTGGATTGATCCCCTTCTTCGACATGGCCTATCAGGGCTTTGCTTCAGGGGATCCTGATAAAGATGCCTGGGCTGTCAGGCACTTTGCTCACGAACTACGAACCAAGACTCTTTTATTGGCTCAAAGCTTTGCTAAAAATATGGGCTTATACGGAGAACGTTGTGGTGCCTTCACGTTAATCTGCGACTCCAAAGAGGAGGCCGCAAGATGTTTGTCTCAAATCAAGATTATTATTCGCCCACTGGTTAGTAACCCTCCTCTCTATGGTGCAAGAATTGCTAGTGAGATCTTGAATGATCCTCAACTAAAAGCAAAATGGTAAATCTTGGTTGTGCCCTTTTACCTAATCCTTTCCTTACAGGCTGGAGGATGTAAAAACTATGGCGAACAGAATCATCGGCATGAGAAAATCTTTAAAACAAGAGCTAGTCAAAGCTGGTTCTTTACGTAACTGGGATCACATTACAGATCAAATTGGGATGTTCTGTTTTACTGGACTTAATTCTGAACAGGCAAGTCTATCGGCTCTCCTGTTTATGTTACGCTCGTTTTAGGTTGAAAAAATGACAAAGAACTTCTCAATCTATCTCACAAAAGATGGAAGAATTAGTGTAGCTGGAGTGACAACGAAAAACGTTGAATATTTGGCCAAAGCTATGCATGAAGTTACAAAGTAACTGATGGGGGACAATTTTCATATTAACAACAATCGCTCTATTCTGTCTAATATTTCCTCTGCTTTATTTCTGGTTTTATCCATTTTAATAACCCAGGCTAAATTATAATGAAATTTCTAATTATTTACTGAAGTGTTCTTATTACTCTATGTGCCAGGTGTGAAGCTTACGAGTTTCTCTCGACTGAAATGCAAATACCCTATCAGTCGTCCCAGAACCTTAGAGATGTTGTCCAGGTCACGTTGTTATTTTGCCCTTTTGTACTTTTTGCCCTATTTCGGTCCACAAATTTAGTTTCAACATTTCAGTCATAGGGTCTTTGAGAAATAAGATCGGAAGTGCTTCAGTCTCATTTAACCACAAGTTGCTCTATTTTATGAGGTCAGATGGATGCCCAGGTTTTATGAGACCATTGGGTTTTGGTAACCAATATCTCAAGTCTCCTCATTATGATTTTTTCAATGTGAAAGAGCTTGAATTTTCGACTGAATACCAGAAAATGTTATTATTTTGACGTTTTATACCATGTACTTATTTATTTCAAATGGCGGGCTTTATGATACTTATCATTTGCGCGTTAGCTGACTTCGGGCTTCATAGAGTGAAGGAGGAATATCAAAGTGAGAAAAAGTGGAGAGGGGGGACAGAAGAGTGATTCAAAGATGTAAAAGAGACAGATGGACACAAAAGCAGAGAAAAAGTAGGATAAGTATGGTGGAAGTGATCGAATAAGACATACAATGGGGTCATGGTAGTTTGAACTGAGAAGTCGACTGCCGGTTTATAGACTTTTTTGCCGTATGAGAATACGTTGCCCAGGATGCACCACGTGGAGGTAATTCTATCGCACACCCCATACCATATACTTAGGATGCCCGGCTCCGTAATCTTTGTTCGATGCTAATCGGCTATGAGTCATTAAGTTTATGGCCGGTAAAACCTGCACTCAAGCCTCTGGCGTGCTTTGAAGCGTTCCCTTCCATCTCGTCAGCTGGCACCCGTGCGATTTGCTCGGTTTTAGACGTGTTGTAGCTTGTGTTAAGTCTTCACATAGAAGATAAGAGAAAAAAACACAATTGGTTATTTTGTTTACCACTTTTAATACTGTATAGAGTCTTGACCAGCTGATCAGTTGTGTATCTAAAGTGTTGGATTTTATTTAAGGTCAGCTCACCTCACTCGCACCGGAGAGTTGATTGAATTTCACATTATTAACAATGAAGAAAAATATGGTGTCATTATTTATTTATTTAACCAAAATTTGGACCAAAACTCTTTGTCCTTGCTTGTTCATCCATCAACGCTTGAGATAGCCAAATTATGACGCTCACATTTTGAAAGTGAGGAAATGCCTTATCTTAATGCTTGAGATAGCAAGGAAGTTAGTTGAGAGAACGGAAGTATTTATTTATATCAAATGGCAGGCGTTTTGATAGTTATCATTAGCCCTTTAGATGACATCAGGTTTCATAGAGGAGAAGGAATATCAAAATGAAAAAAAAGTCGAGAGGCTGTGGGGACAGAAGAGTGTTTCAAAGATGTAAAAGAGACAGACACAAAGGTATAAAAAGGTAAGATGAGTACTGTGAAAGTCTTCGAATATGACATACAGTGGCATCATGGTAGTTTGAAGTCAAAAGTCAACTGCCAGTTAATAGACTTTTTTGCCGTATGAGTGTACGTTACCCAGGGTGCACCACTTGGGGGTAAGTCTATCGCACATAACATAACATNCTCTTAATCATCAACGCGACTGCATTAGCATATCAAGAACGTGGTTTGGAGCTCAATTAAGTGCATGAATTTACTCAACTACAAACGCTCAGAAAATTGCAAAAGACCGTTGCTGTGGGACATTTATATCGGCCAGCTCGCTGACAATTTCCTCAACGGTAACTCGTAGGCACACGAGAGATGTCTTCCTGAGTTCTTACTTTGATGGTGGTGTGTGCGATAGACTTACCTCCACGTGGTGCCCCCTGGGCAACGTATACTCATGCGGCAAAAAAAGTCTATTAACCGGCAGCTGACTTCTCACTTCAAACAACCATCACCCCCACTGTATGTCGTATTCGACCCCTACCATTACTCATCTTACCCTTTCTGATCCTTTGTGTCTGTTTCTTTTGCATCTTTGAAACACCCTTCTATTTCCCCTCCTAAATTCTTCTAACTTTGATGTTCCTCCTCCCCTCTGTGAAGAATTCTTCCTTTGATGTTCCTCCTCCCCTCTGTGAAGCCCGAAGTCAACTAAAGGGCTAATGATAACTATCAAAACGCCTGCCATTTGTTATAAATAAATAAATAACTTTGATGGTTCCCCTCCTCTTGAGTCGTCAATAAGTTGTGCTTTTCTCCTCCTTTAAGAAGTTCAATCCAGTCAGAAATAACTGCTCTATATATAGCGCAGAGGCTCTGTAAACAGAATTCCAATTTAGTCTAGTTAACATCTTAAGTTAGCTCCCATCTCAAAAAGTGCCAATTTTAGGGGGTGAAAATTGTTACCTATTTTGAGATTCAACCTGTCATGATCATGACCTTACACAGAATGGTCGGACAGTTGTATGCTATTAGGGAGGCTATAAAGACAAGTTTGAACTTGTAAATCTTTGTTCTATTTTAAGTTATGGCAGTTGATTCACCCTCGCATTCAGTGTGGTGTATTAAAGTGGATTCTAATCGGTCCACATAGGTCTATTCTCCACACTTTCAACTCAACTGTGTTCCTTTTCCCCTTTCTTTCTGTTCGAATCGCTACTTCCCCCCCCCCCCTCCCCTATTCCTGAGTGCCTATAAACAAGACCCCTACCTCACATGCCTTGTCATAGTTAAATATTCTTCCTTCAAGAACCAAGACTTTGCTCTGCTTTGCAGGTGTTAGTTGCATTATTAAGATTCCGATGTACAGGAACCTGAAGTAGGTCACGTCAGTAATCGAAGTCAAAGATACTGATTTGGCATTTAAATTGATAGGACGCCTCCACACACGCACGTTACCACGGTCAGGTTAGCTCCAATATTAAGGCACATTCCAAAATCCTCTCCTTCTCCTCGCTGTTTTATACGCATTGTCGCATTGTCAGAACGTTGAATCGATTAATTTCATTCAATCTGAACAAATTTCACTGGTGTCTTCCCTTGTGCATTAAATTATCGATTTCCACGCTCGTGCCTGGGAATCCAATTTCTGCTCTGATTATTATATTAATCTCACTCACTTAAAAGATTAACGAAATAGGGAGTAGGGGGGGCTTCTCTTTAATCATCTTTAAACTACTGAGTATGTGCGATATTTTTTGGAAAAAAATAGATGTATTGCACAATCTGTTTTAAGTTAGCGAAGGTCCGTGACTCATACGCACGCACTGCACGCACATACCCATTCATGCTCATTCTAGGGTTTTTTCCATTTTCGTTTGTGTTTTACGGAAATTTGAGGCATGTCAGTAAAATGCTGCCAAGATGATATGACCTATTCGGAGAGTACAAATATAATTGCTTAGAGTGCTTGACCATATCGACTCCGGTGCTATTGTATCTTCGATCAACCAGTTGACATTAACCTTGCAATATCGTACATATGTCCTCTATATGAGAAGCAAGCTTGTCTTAGGCAAGATACTTCAAACTACTTGGCAATCTTTCGAGATTTCACAAATAAGATGTCGATGTTCATAGTTTTTGTCTCTCACTAATTTTAGTTTAGTTTTGCAAATTCTTTCAAATACTCTGACGGATGTGCACTCCTGAACAGTAATCTAAAAGTCCTAGCGACATTGACAGGAGATAATAAACGATAAACTTCGAAGCTGTAATCGTTGCTTGTAACCAAATAAGCAAAAGAACAATTTTGCTTTTTTAAATTAACGAACTGGTGTGCAAATCCGTGCTATTGTCATAAAACAGTCATTTCTGTTCTGCTTTTTCTTTTCAACTCCTTAGTCCTGACAGAGTGAACTCTGGCATGTGCAATTGCCCTCTGAATTGAAGTCAAAAAATTTGCTTCAGATCTTATATGCCATATTTTCAAAGGCCTAGAAAATGATACTTCAGTTGTTTCTCTTTATCTTGGGGTGTGTGGTAGACTTACCTCCACATGGTGCGCCCTGGACAAGGTATTCTCATACAGCAAAAAAAGTCAATAAACCGGCAGTTGACTTCTGACTTCAAACTACCATGACCCCACTGTATGTCATATCCGACCACTTTCACAGTACTCACCTTACCTTTTCTCTTCCTTTGTATCCATCCGTCTTTTTTACATCTTTGAAACACTCTTCTCTTCCCTCTCCCCCTCTCGAATTTTTGTCATTTTGATGTTCCTCCTCCTCCTCCCCTCTGTGAAGCCCGAAGCCAGCTAAATGGCCAATGATCAATCAATCAACCTCTTGGGAAATGCTGTGTGCAAATACGATTAGCATTTCAAGCAGATCAAAGTGAAATGAAAGTAGTTGGAAAATAAGTCAGAAGAAAGTTAGAGGTCAAATTCCCTAATTGATCGTCTCCTAAACATTCCAGTGAATGAATTGTTTTCTTTTTTGAGAAGTTGTGTTTAATTAACGTCTCAATGATATGGAACAAAAGTTGTGAAGTATCTTTGAATTTGCCACTCAGAGGATAATATGGACTCTAAATACAGAACACTTTATCGGGTGGCCAAGATGGAAGAGGTCCTGTGGGTTTGCAGAATGGCAAATTAATAACTTATTCTAATTTGAAAATAATAAATGCGGAATGTTACCAATAACACCAGGTTGGACATTCACTACAATCACAACCTCTGTTGAAAGTGTTCGCCATGCGCGTCAATACGCAGTACAGCATGTCTCAGCATGTTTTTGGAAAGTCAAGTTAGTTCATTCAGTGTGATTGCGAATGTTCATTTCATTACCGTCTAACGCGGTTTATAGGTCATGATGTCCGCCTGAAATATGTTCTGGTGTGGCACGCGTTTGATAAACGTCTAGTTGATTTCTGTGGGCTTCTTAGCAGGGTCCAGT